ACACGGGCTTCGAGGGCAAAGTGCGCAGCACGTGACGTGGCCAACGGCGAGGCCAGGCGCCCTCGCTGCGCCCTGATTGGCTGCCGCGAGGATGGCGGTTTACCAGGGGGCGGGGCCATCTGACCACGCCCACACAAGCCCCGCCCAGGCCCCCACGTGCTCCCTGGAGCAGAACAGTTCGAGGGATTGGCTTGCGGAAGGGGGACGGAGGCGGGGGGCTTGGTGCCCTCCCAGCGCGGGGAACAGGAACCTTAACAAACTCCGAGTTGTGACCGGTGCGCCCTGAGCGCCCAGCGGTGCAATGGTGGCCCTGACATCTAGAAGTTAGCTCCTCCCTCGACCAGGGAAATGTAATTGGGATGTTGCACTCCTCGCCCCAACCTCCCCCAGACACCAGGGCATGGCAAGGCCAGGACGGCAGGCGGCTGCGTGCCTAACAGACTTAATTTTCCAAGTCGACCGACTGTGTGCTGGGTGCGTGCGCCACAAGGTGCGGGGCGGGGGTCCCGCCACCACAGCCCCGAGGGCCCGTGAACCCAGAGATGGCTCCTCCCGGCCCCGGAAATCCCGGCTCCGCAGGTTCCCTAACCTGCATCTCTAATAAGTTCCACGTGATACTCGTGCACGTGGTCCAGGGGCCAGGTTGACAGGGGTCACTGGGCTACAGGCCCGGGTGACCGCCACAGGGGTTTGCTGCCTCATTGGGCAAAAGCCACCCAGAACTATTGCACACATTGGAAAATGGAACAGAATTAGCTGTCAGCTTGGAAGTGGGGCTGACGGTAACTAGTGATGTGAGTAGCTAAGTCCTGTGATCATTCAATAGATTCTTTATAACCAAGTGTAGGGGGTAGTGGCAACATGGTGACCTCTGGGGACTTGTTTTCAAGCTGCACGTGTATCGCAAACATATTGGTTTTTATCCATATTTGAGAGAGTATGTGTGATGGAGGTGGCGGGGAGGCTCCCGAAAGCCAGCTCCCCAAGTCCTTGTATGTGGGGGGGAGGGGGGGGTTAAGGGAGCAGGCCAGATCTCATTGTTTCCCATAATAGCTTGATTGTAAAAAAAAAAAAAAATCCACGGGGGCCCTCTGAACAGCACAGGTTCCCAGATCAGGCCGCTTCAGTAGGTTTGGGACGAGAGCAAAGACTTTTAATGAGAGAGGCCACGTGATTTTTATGCTCAGAAGTTTGAGTAATTGGAGGCAAGATCAGTGATCCTGACAGTATTCCCCTAAAGCAGCGGTTCTCAGCCTTCTGGCCCTTTCAATACAGTTCCTCACGTTGTGACCCAACCATAACATTATTTTCGTTGCTACTTCATAACTGTAATGCTGCTACTGTTATGCATCGTCATGTAAATATCTGATATGCAGGATGGTCTTAGGCGGCCCCTGTGAAAGGGTCGTTCGACCGCCAAAGGGGTCGCGACCCACAGGTTGAGAACCGCTGCGCCTAAAGAATTAACGAGAAAAGGCAAAAGCACTTGAAGACGGGAGTAATTTGGGGCCAAAAAAGGGGGGGCGCACAAAGCTTTGCGCTTTTGGTGCAATAAAAGGTACGCTTTGGAAACACAGTAGGAACGTGATCTTTGGCAAAGAGGAGGGAAGATTTCGGTGAAAAGGATGTTCTGCAGCTTGGCCAGCAGGTGGCGCCATAAAACAAGAAACAGATCTTAGGTGCAGCCCCTACCGCAGGGATAGCAATACCCGGGGTGGACGCTAGAGGGCAGCAGTGACACTCGTTTTCTCTGCCTGACCTCCTCGTCGCTGCTGAAGACACAGGGTTCCCGGCTGCAAAGGACAGAACCTCAGTTTCTAGCCCCGGCCGGTCTGGCTCAGTGGGTAGAGCGTCGGCCTGCGGACTGAGGGGGGTCTCAGGTTCGATTCCCGATCAGGGCGCAGGCCCAGGTTGTGAGCTCGATCCCCACTGGGGGGCGTGCAGGAGGCAGGTGATCCATTATTCTCTCTCATCATGGATGTTTCTCTCTCTCTCTCCCTTCCCCTCTGAAATCAATATATATGTGTATATATGCATATATGTGTGTGTATATATATATGTGTGTGTGTGTG